GAGTGGGATTATATAAGCGGGATGAATTTAAACAAGCACGCAGAAAACTTTCTGTATGTTACTGGTTCAATTCTTGATTGCAGAAATAAAAATGAACATTGTACATTTCGTCCACCAACCCTGGGCGAGAGATTGAATGGCGTACTCGTGAACTGTAGTTTTCCTTTCTATTAATGAATGTTTCATATATGTTTTACTATCCTGGTTAAGAATGTTTGCGTTTTATATAATTGTATATGAATGTTTTATTTGTTTTGTTTTTTTACATTTCAGATATGAGTGTTAAAGATGTTCTTTTCTGGATATGACGTTTTGCGTTGAACATTTTAGTGAACTCTTGTTTGTGTTTTATATTTTCATATCTATATATTTTGTGTTCTATTTTTCCGCACCTGAATGTTTGTGTTCTATTTTTTCAATATCTGAATGTGTTTTATATTTCCATATCTGAATATTTTTTATATTTCCACGTCTGAATGTGTGTTTAATTTTTCCATATCTGAATGTGTGTTTTATATTTCCATATCTAAATGTGTGTTTTATATTTCCATATCTGAATGCTTGTGTTTTATATTTCCATATCTGATTGTGTGTTATATTTCCATACCTAATTGGGTTTTTTATATTTCCAGATCTGAATGTTTGTGTTCTATATTTCCATATCTGAATGTTTGTGTTCTATTTTTTCAATATCTGAATGTGTTTTATATTTCCATATCCGAATGTGTGTTTTATATTTCCATATCTAAATGTGTGTTTTATATTTCCATATCTGAATGTGTGTTTCATGTTTCCATATCTGATTGTGTTTTATATTCCATATCTGAATGTGTGTTTTATATTTCCATATCTGATTATGTGTTTTATATTTCCATATCTGAATGTGTGTTTTATATTTCCATATCTGAATGTGTGTTTTATATTTCCATATCTGAATGTGTTTTATATTTCCATATATGATTGTGTGTTTTATATTTCCATATCTGAATGTGTGTTTTATATTTCCATATCTGAATGTGTGTTTTATATTTCCATATCTGAATGTGTTTTATATTTCCATATCTGAATGTGTGTTTTATATTTCCATATCTGATTGTGTGTTATATTTCCATATCTAAATGTGTGTTTTATATTTCCAGATCTGAATGTTTGTGTTCTATATTTCCATATCTGAATGCTTGTGTTTTATTTTTTCATATCTGAAAATGTGTTTTATATTTCCATATCTGAATGTGTTTTATATTTCAAGATCTGAATGTTTGTGTTCTATATTTCCATATCCTGAATGCTTGTGTTTTATATTTCAATATCTGAATGTGTTTTATATTTCCATTTCTGAATGTGTTTGATATGTCCATACCTGAATGTTGGTGTGTTATATTTCCATATCTGAATGTTTGTGTTTAATATTTCCATATCTGAATGTTTGTGTTTTATATTTCCATATCTAAATGTTTGAGTTCTACATTTCCACATCTGAATGTTGGTGTTTAATATTTCCATATCTGAATGTTGGTGTTTGATATTTCCATATCTGAATGTTGGTGTTTAATATTTCCATATCTGAATGTTGGTGTTTAACATTTCCATATCTGAATGTTGGTGTTTAATATTTCCATATCTGAATGTTGGTGTTTAATATTTCCATATCTGAATGTTGATGTTTGATATTTCCATATCTGAATGTTGGTGTTTGATATTTCCATATCTGAATGTTTGTGTTTAATATTTCCATATCTGAATGTTGGTGTTTAATATTTCCATATCTGAATGTTGGTGTTTAACATTTCCATATATGAATGTTCGTGTTTAATATTTCCACATCTGAATGTTCGTGTTTAATATTTCCATATATGAATGTTGGTGTTTAACATTTCCATATATGAATGTTCGTGTTTAATATTTCCATATCTGAATGTTGGTGTTTAATATTTCCATATCTGAATGTTGGTGTTTAATATTTCAACATCTGAATATTTGTCTTTAATATTTCCACATCCGAATTTTTGTGTTTAATATTTCCATATCTGAATGTTGGTGTTTAATATTTCAACATCTGAATGTTGGTGTTTAATATTTCCATATCTGAATGTTGGTGTTTAACATTTCTATATCTGAATGTTGGTGTTTAATATTTCCATATCTGAATGTTGGTGTTTAATATTTCCATATCTGAATGTTTGTGTTTAATATTTCAACATCTGAATATTTGTCTTTAATATTTCCACATCCGAATTTTTGTGTTTAATATTTCCATATCTGAAGGTTGGTGTTTAATATTTCCATATCTGAATGTTGGTGTTTAACATTTCCATATCTGAATGTTGGTGTTTAATATTTCCACACCTGAATATTTGTCTTTAATATTTCCACATCTGAATGTTTGTGTTTAATATTTCCATATCTGAATGTTGGTGTTTAAAATTTCCATATCTGATTGTTTGTGTTTAACATTTCCATATCTGAATATTGGTGTTTAATATTTCCATATCTGAATGTTTGAGTTCTACATTTCCACATCTGAATGTTGGTGTTTAATATTTCAATATCTGAATGTTGGTGTTTAATATTTCAACATCTGAATATTTGTCTTTAATATTTCCACATCCGAATTTTTGTGTTTAATATTTCCATATCTGAAGGTTGGTGTTTAATATTTCCATATCTGAATGTTGGTGTTTAACATTTCCAAATCTGAATGTTGGTGTTTAATATTTCCACACCTGAATATTTGTCTTTAATATTTCCACATCTGAATGTTTGTGTTTAATATTTCCACATCTGAATGTTTGTGTTTAATATTTCCATATCTGATTGTTTGTGTTTAGCATTTCCACATCTGAATATTGGTGTTTAATATTTCCATATCTGAATGTTTGAGTTCTACATTTCCACATCTGAATGTTGGTGTTTAATATTTCAATATCTGAATGTTGGTGTTTAATATTTCCATATCTGAATGTTGGTGTTTAATATTTCAAAATCTGAATGTTTGTGTTGAATATTTTCATATCTGAATGTTGGTGTTTAATATTTCCATATCTGAATGTTGGTGTTTAATATTTCCATATCTGAATGTTGGTGTTTAATATTTCCATATCTGAATGTTGGTGTTTAATATTTCCATATCTGAATGTTGGTGTTTAATATATCCATATCTGAATGTTGGTGTTTAATATTTCTATATCTGAATGTTTGTGTTTAATATTTCCATATCTGAATGTTTGTGTTTAATATTTCCATATCTGAATGTTGGTGTTTAATATTTCCATATCTGAATGTTGGTGTTTAATATTTCCATATCTGAATGTTGGTGTTTAATATTTCCATATCTGAATGTTGGTGTTTAATATTTCCATATCTGAATGTTGGTGTTTAATATTTCCATATCTGAATGTTGGTGTTTAATATTTCCATATCTGAATGTTGGTGTTTAATATATCCATATCTGAATGTTGGTGTTTAATATTTCTATATCTGAATGTTGGTGTTTAATATTTCCATATCTGAATGTTTGTGTTTAATATTTCCATATCTGAATGTTTGTGTTTAATATTTCCATATCTGAATGTTGGTGTTTAATATTTCTATATCTGAATGTTTGTGTTTAATATTTCCATATCTGAATGTTGGTGTTTAATATATCCATATCTGAATGTTGGTGTTTAATATTTCTATATCTGAATGTTTGTGTTTAATATTTCCATATCTGAATGTTGGTGTTTAATATATCCATATCTGAATGTTGGTGTTTAATATTTCTATATCTGAATGTTTGTGTTTAATATTTCTATATCTGAATGTTGGTGTTTAATATTTCCATATCTGAATGTTTGTGTTTAATATTTCTATATCTGAATGTTTGTGTTTAATATTTCCATATCTGAATGTTGGTGTTACATACTGTGGTAGTAGAATGTTTGTGTTTTATATTTCCATAGTAGAATGTTTTTGTTATATATCTTCAGATTATAATGTTTTGTTTTTTTCCACATCTGAATGTTTGTGTTTAAAATTGTAATAGCAGAATGTTTGTGTTGCATATCGTTATAGCAAAATGTTTGTCTTTTATTTCCATAGTCAAATTTTACCATAGTGTTTTAAATTTCTGTACATGACTAATAGTGTTTCACATTTCTGTACATGACTAATAGTGTTTCACATATCTGTACATGACTAATAGTGTTTTGTATTTCTGTACATGACTAATAGTGTTTTGTATTTCTGTACATGGCTAATGATGTTTTGCTTTTCTGTACCTGACTAATAGTGTTTCAAATTTCTGTACATGAATAAAAGTATTTCCCATTTCTGTACATTTCTGTAAATTAATTGCTTTGCTTTTGTATGCGAAGGTACACACGTCGAAATGAGTTAAATCATGATAAGGTCCTCATATCGTTAACAGGGTGTTAATTATTGTTTTAATTTCAAATAGTGAGTATGGTTTTACGCCGCTTTCAGCAATATTCCAGCAATATCACGGCGGGGGTACACCACAAATGGGCTTCACACATTGTAAATTTCAAATAGAGAATGCACATTGTGCACATGATTTCAGAAATCTGATTAAAAATTCAGATATGCTTGGTGGGATTGCCTCATGCTGATGAGCCACCGTATGTTTGTGATGTTGGACAATCTGTGGACTATTGATGTCTGTCACATAAGTCACACTTTCACAGTCGCTCGTCGCAGTTGTCTCCCTTCAACTATTAGAAAAACTGTCTGAAGAAATACACTTTTATATGTAAACACAGAGACCATATAACGGTACATGGTCTCTGGTAAACATCAACCACAAGTGACATGAGCTGAGGTCGATCGTCCCCATGTGATCCTCTCCTAGTGACTTGCATACAACACCAGACTTGACGGGATGTGTTATTGATTGATGCAGTGGCTGATGGGGGGGGGGGGGGGGGGGGGGGTCCACGTTCTACTGGGTATGCTACTGAAGTTGGTGGGGGGAGTGAGTGGGATGGGGGTAGTGGTCTTACCTGGTGGCGGTACTCGGCACAGTCCAACAGGTAGTTGGCCAGGTCACGAAAGTAGAACCAGATGAGAGCGGCTGTCAGCATGGTGGTAGGTCTGTGTCCTGCGTCTGACCACTCCTCGCCGTGCAGGTGGAGTATCGGGTGCTGGCGAGATCAGCACTGGGGATCTGAGTGGGTGGTGAAAGGATCACCACCGTACAGACATTTCTCCTCTCACTAGACACTGTGCCTCCGTAAAACAACTCGAAACGAAATATGGGTCAGGTCGCAACACAGTATCTGTCCTCTTCAAAGCATTGTTGTAAACACTTAAACACTTTCCGAGGTGGGGAGAGAGTCCGTACTAGTCAACTGTAGAGTCCGGGACACGCTTTGGACAGTTCGAAATTACAATGACTATGCACTCAAAGAAAACTGTATCCACAAGGTCACTGAGTAGAACACATGCCTACGCGGCCATGACACATGCATGACTTGCTGTCGTTCCGGCTGGGCGGATGGACTTAATACGTGGAATATTAAGTATCCAGGGGCAATGCCTAGGGTTACTCGGCACCCCAGTCCGGCCCAGGTCTGTCAGGGAGGGTTAGTCGGGTCCAGGGTGGGCCCACGTCTCCACGCACACAACGTTTGTCCGTCACTATGGCAGACAGAGTGATACACCTGCTGTTGATGGTGATGATCAATAACTGGGAGAGATAATTACTGTGTGTAGATAGAGATAGACCAGAGGGTGGGTGGAAGTTCTTACATGTCAGCTGCATACAGGACACAGAGCTGTTCCAGAATTAAACTCGGATATATTGCGGAAGCGCTGAGATTAACGTTTAGAGGATTATCTTGTCATTGTCCAGACACAGGGAAATGAAATACAGAATAACTCACAGCCGATATGGATATGGATAAAAACCATGTATAAATTAATATGAAACAGGTGCAGGTTGATGACGTGACGTGGTATGACGTGACGTGGTATGACGTGACGTGGTATGACGTGACGTGGTATGACGTGTGGCGGGTGAGGTGTGACAAGGGCCGGACACTTCACGTGTGGTACACTGGTAACATTCTGATGCTGGATTTATAGCTTGGGTACAAAGTTGAGTAATACCTAAACCCCGGTATTATAAGTACAATAAAAGAAGGTACTTGTAAATCATCTATTTACAAGGATAAGCCCATATAAAATAAGCCTCTTTTCACTAAGCCATTATATTACGCCGAAGGCGTCGATATCACTTGAAACTTCTGTAAGTGAAGTTTAACACTTATTGTCAGACCAGCACTGGGGGGAATGTAGCCTTATAGGTATTCGTTTTATACGTGGACGCGTGCAACCATCTACATGTCTGACCTAGCCTTGACATATTGTAGACATGATTGATGGCCCTGCAACAGACTGCACCGTTATATGTGGAAACACAAAGCTGCTGCGTTAAGCTGATGCCATTCAATGCCACTTTGTTTACAGGCAGCTGCTATTTAACGAATTTTATTCTGTGTGCAACAGTGCTAAGTGTTGCGTGTGGAGGGGGAGACCAATGTGTCACAGCCAGGCCCACAGCAGCTAGTTAAGGATGGGTTCCACTTGACTGGGGACGGCAATAGATTCCTTGAACAGTTCTTACGATTACAAAGAGTTACCATTGATCGTTTCTCTGATAGCTCAGTAAGATGTCCACACTATCTCATACATGTTCTAACCTCGCCAGTCAGCTAGGTACATTATGAGTCCCATGGCCTTCCTCATGACGAGTGACTAGACTAACCCACCGCATCAACTCTTTGATAATGCTGTCATCATCTACGTTTCACTAGAACCAAGGAGAAGAGGGAGTGGGCAGTAACTGGATCTACCGCTGTGAGAGGCGATGAACAGCCGCCTCTTCATACAGAATCCCTGCCTGAATATCAACTATGACACAAGATAGCAACCGGTAGAGCAGGTCGAGCTCGACATGCGAATGTCATCATTGTCATGTCAGATATCCCATTTACTTTCATCTCTGTTACACAATGTTGTGAGTTCAACAAGAATAGATTTTGTTCATCTAAAACTAACCCAATTGTAGACATAAAATGTACGCCTAGAAAAGATATGGCAGTAGACATTTGAACTTTCAAAAAGCATATAATGCCATTGTTTACATAGTATGACGGAATGAATGGCTGTATGTCTACCTGTAACAGATAGATACCTCTAGCAACCACTCTACACTAGACCACGGATGCAGTCTGATGTTAATTAAAGTATTAGCAGTTGATATCAAGTGCGGGGCATCTCAATATCAGGCACAGGGCGTGATGTCAGTCCTGGTGTTCGGTGTACATGCAACACCTCCGTATTGATTACAAACACTTCACACATGTCGTCACGGCATAGGTACACAGGTATAAGGAGTAAAAAACTTCTGATCCAATCTGTTCAAATATTGGCAAAACAAGTACAATTTCAAGCTCATATTTTTTATGTAAAATCGAAGATCGTCATCTTTTGAATTGAAATTTTATTTAAACTATCTTGTTCTGTCACTAAACGCACGTGTGGTTGTGTGTGTGCGTGTGTTAGTGTGTGTGAGTGTGTAGGTAGATGTGTGAGTGTGTAGGTAGATGCGTGTGTGTGTGAGTGTGTGTGTGTGTGAGTGTGTAGGTAGATGTGTGAGTGTGTAGGTAGATGTGTGTGTGTGAGTGAGTGTGTAGGTAGATTAGTGTGTGTGTGTGTGTGTGTGTGTGTGTGTGTGTGTGTGTGTGTGTGTGTGTGTGTGTGTGTGTGTGTGTGTGTGTGTGTGTGTATGTGTGTGTGTGTGTGTAGGTAGATGTGTGAGTGTGTAGGTAGATGTGTGTGTGTGTGTGAGAGTGTAGGTAGATGTGTGAGTGTGTAGGTAGATGTGTGTGTGTGAGTGTGTAGGTAGATGTGTGAGTGTGTAGGTAGATGTATTAGTGTGTGTGTGTGTCCGGTAGTGTGATGTCTTCAGGGGAAACGTGACACTATCAGCTCAGCGAATGATTCAGTGAGTGAGTGAGTGAGTGAGTGAGTGTGGTGCAACATTTTTGTTATGTCAATATGTCAGCAACATTACAGATAAAAGCACAAATCATGGGTTTACACATTGCACCATGTATGTATGGCATCAAACTAAGATGTTCCATGTGACACACGTCTCCAGCAACAGACTGCAACGACATAACTTTGTTGGTCGAATACCGCTCATATTTAAGCCTGACAATTTGTCTACCATCTATTCTTGATTACTTGATCTATGTTTAAATATTTATTAGCTCCAGATATTAAATACTTGAATCTGCATTTATCTTAACACACATTTCTTAGTGTCATTTTCCACATTAATCTTTTAAAACTAACATTAATTAACTAATCATTCCTAGCAAACAACGTCTACCTGCTAATGAAACACAGTGCGTGATGTCAGTGGTACAACATGATGACTTGTAGACACCACAAAACATGACATTGTTCATCGCGTACTAGACAATGTAGAAAGCAACCATGACATTGTTCATCCCGTACTAGACAGTGTACAAAACAAACATGACATTGATCGTCCCGTACTAGACAGTGTACAAAACACGCATGACATTGGTCATCCCGTACTAGACAGTGTAGAAAACAACCATGACATTGTTCATACTGTACTAGACAGTGTAGAAAACAACCATGACATTGTTCATACTGTACTAGACAGTGTAGAAAACAACCATGACATTGTTCATCCCGTACTGGGGCGGTCGGGGAGCCTAGTGGTTAAAGCGTTCGCTCGTCGCGCCGAAGACCCGGGTTCGATTCCCGACATGGGTACAATGTGTGAAGCCCATTTCTGGTGTCCCCCGCCGTGATATTGCTGGAATGTTGCGAAAAGCGGCGTAAAAACATACTCACTCACTCATCCCGTACTAAAGAGTGTAGAACACAAACATGACATTGGTCATCCCGTACAAGACAGTGTAGAAAACAAACATGACATTGTTCATCCGTACTAGACAGTGTAGAAAACAACCATGAAATTGTTCACCCCGTACTAGACAGTGTAGAAAACGAACATGACATTGTACATCCCGTACTAGACAGTGTAGAAAACAACACTGACATTGTTCATCCCGTAATAGACAGTGTACAAAACAACCATGACATTGTTCATCCAGCCGTACTAGACAGTGTAGAAAACAACCATGACATTGGTCATTCCGTACTAGACAATGAAGAAAACAAACATGACATTGGTCATCCCGTACTAGACAGTGTAGAAAACAACCATGACATTGGTCATCCCGTACTAGACAATGAAGAAAACAAACATGACATTGTTCATCCCGTACTAGACAGTGTAGAAAACAAACATGACATTGGTCATCCCGTACTAGACAGTATAGAAAACAAACATGACATTGTTCACCCCGTACTAGACAGTGTAGAAAACAAACATGACATTGGTCATCCCGTACTAGACAGTGTAGAAAACAAACATGACATTGTTCACCCCGTACTAGACAGTGTAGAAAACAACCATGACATTGTTCATCCCGTACTATACAGTGAAGAAAACAAACATGACATTGGTCATACCGTACTAGACAATGAAGAAAAGAACCATGACATTGGTCATCCCTTACTAGACAGTGTAGAAAACAAACATGACATTGGTCATCCCGCACTAGACAGTGTAGAAAACAAACATGACATTGTTCACACCGTACTAGACAGTGTAGAAAAGAACCATGACATTGTTCACCCCGTACTAGACAGTGTAGAAAACAACCATGACATTGTTCACCCCGTACTAGACAGTGTAGAAAACAAACAGGCTACAATGTCGCCTACAGTTTGGAATGTGAAGTTTAATGCTAAGATTCTCGTTATTTGGTCGTTGTAGTTTCAACTGTACGAACATAGCCCTAAAGTTTTGTACAACTGATGCGGTGCACCAGTGATGTAGTCGTCACTTTTCACTGCTAAAATGCAGGGATCGTCAATACAATGACAGTTTAATGACACAACTGCAGGTATAGTCAATACCAAGGTAGTTTTATGGCACAACTGCAGGGATAGTCAATACCAGGGTAGTTTCATGACACAACTGCAGGGGTAGTCAATACCAGGGTAGTTTCATGACACAACTACAGGGATAGTTAATACCAGGGTAGTTTCATGACACACCTGCAGGGATAGTTAATACCAGGGTAGTTTCATGACACAACTGCAGGGGTAGTAAATACAAGGGTAGTTTCATGACACACCTGCAGGGGTAGTCAATACAAAGGTAGTTTCATGACACACCTGCAGGGGTAGTCAATACAAAGTTAGTTTCATGACACACCTGCAGGGGTAGTCAATACAAGGTAGTTTCATGACACCCTGCAGGGATAGTCAATACCAGGGTAGTTTTTTATGACACACCTGCAGGGGTAGTCAATACAAAGGTAGTTTCATGACACACCTGCAGGGGTAGTCAATACAAAGGTAGTTTCATGACACACCTGCAGGGTAGTCAATACCAGGGTAGTTTCATAACACACCTGCAGGGGTAGTCAATACCAGGGTAGTTTCATGACAAAACTGCAGGGGTAGTCAATATCAGGGTAGTTTCATGACATACCTGCAGGGGTAGTCAATACCAGGGTAGTTTCATGAAACACCTGCAGGGGTAGTCAATACC